GACACGGTGAAAGGAGAAACAAAAAGAATCAAAATTATTTAATGGAATAATTAAGATCTGCAAAGCGCTTCGTGGTATAGAGCGCTGGACAACTACATAAGCCTCTCAGTGAGATGTATATTCAGCCGAATAGCTTTGTTCTCTGAATGCGCATAGCGCGAGTAGCGCGAATCCCAGGAGAATTTCTCCTATGAATCACTGGGCGAAAGCAGTGGGAATTCCCCCCGGGGAGGGGTTGGGAGCTCGTGCTTCTGCTTTGCACTGCAAACACTGCCATGGCTGTCACAGACATGAGGTGTCCCGCCGGTGGTACCAGGCTGTTAGGGGAAGCGCCGTGGCCCCCGCGCGCGAAGACGTGGAACGATGTGCCTACCTTTTTGTGCCACGTGGATTTAAGCATGTGGTTTAAGTCCTTCCCTGTACTCAGTCCTCTAGATTAAGTGCTCTTCTATACCCAAATCTCTCATCACGTTAGTAATGTTGGGAAGATCAGTCCTTGGTTAACGTAATTGCCATTACGTTCAAACATTTTACAGGTTTTCTTCAGAAAGAAAAAAAACCCCGTCTAGTTTCTGGGGCCGGTAACATACGTGAACATGAGATTTTTCAAGCTATGGAGGGCTCTGTCATAATCCAGTAGGAATGTCTGTAGGAAAGTAACTTGCTGTTAAAGCGGGCATCTATTCAGAGAAACGACTGCAGAAATGGCATTGTGGGGTCCATGTTTATGGTTTCTCAGCAACGCCGGTTGACGTCTCCTCGGCTGCAAAATTAAAGGACGGTTTTTTTCGACTTGCCAACTCTACAAGCTTAGCTGGGGCTCTCCGCCACACTGGGCTCCATCAAGCTCACGCATCATCAGGACTCAAGAATCAGTGCATGGAATTTAGTTAATGACTAATAGTTGATGCATGAGACAGAAACGAGTCCAAGGCCTGAGCTTTGTTCACTCTGCGGGGCACTGTAAGGTGTTCAAAACTTCAAATGTTGAAGCACGCAGGTCTAGCCCTGCTTGAGCCCCATGACTGGATCTGTTGATTAGGTACCATTTCTACATGTAATCACATTGCAGGGAATGGCCAGTAGTTGCATACGCGCCCAAGCTTTCCTTTGATTTCACTGGGAGTTTTGGGCGTGCAAAGAATGTGGGAATAGATCCTACATGATTTATTGGCAGATAATTTACACGGGCTACTTCTTGGCTGTGTTATGTGCATTTCCTTTCTGCAAAGCCTGTCTTGCAGTAGTTTAACCACCATCAGATTTATCTGCAGGAGCTTTTGAATACAGTTTTGGGAGGGAATGCCATGAAGCTAACTCCCCAGTTTTGAAAAAAATAATGTATATCTAGGTTATTTTTGTGCATGGTTATTCCTAGGCCTTTAAATGGCTATAAAGTAAGGACTATAGCCATTTAAAAGAAGTTACTAGGAAAGGACCACAGTGACCTTGGCAATATCTAATTGCAGGCTAAGCTTTCTGGGTGGGCATTCAGCACTGGATACAAAAAAAGTAAAATCTTGGCAGGAGCTGCCAGGTCTCATTACTTTCAGTAGAGCTTGACATTTCCAGTGTTTAAAAAAAAAAAAAAAAAGAAAAAGAATAAAGTCAACAACTTCAAAGCAGTAGGGGCATACGGAAAAAAGTGTTTGAGCAAAACCGATTTAGCAGTGATGATATAATTACAATCAGAGAAATAAGCGAAGTTGGGTTTTTTTCAGGCTTGCTTATGGCTTTTCTTCTCTTCTCTCCTCCCTGTCCCCCCCTGCAGGAATGGGAGCTGGTGGTGCTGGGGAAGTTGAAGTGGAACCTCGCAGCCGTCACCCCGCACGATTTCATTGAACACATCCTAAGGAAGCTGCCTCTACCTAAAGACAAGTTGCTTTTGATCCGGAAGCATGCACAAACGTTCATTGCCCTTTGTGCCACAGGTAGGCCAAGGTGCTCTGGGTGCACCTGCTGCTTGCCCTGTGGTTGAAAGGGCAGGTTAGTCACTGGTGTTATAAAGGCTTTTCATCCCCTCCATCCTTATGTGATGTGGGAAGAACCGGTGGGACTGTTGGCAAAGGGCATTGTGAATCAGGCCCCGAAACTGCGGTTAAAGAGAATTCTCGCAATCGGGAGCTGTAGTGCCGCTGCAGTCCTGCTCCTACTAACGCGTGCGGTGCTTTTGCAGCGAAGTCAGTAAGACTGGATTAGTCCATACGGTTTTCTGCTTTGCCCGTTCACTAATTTTTTTAAAGGGCCAGGGGTCGTTTGTAAGGACAGATGTGGGACGGCCAAAATAGTAGAAGCTGTTACGGCACATTAGCCCAAAATGCATTGGGCTAATGCATTAAAGACATGTATTCGTAAATTTTTCATTAACTTGGGGCTGTCCAAATAAAAGGTAAAAATTGTATTTTAACATGTACGTGATACTACCACATTACTGAAGCATAGGGAATGACAATTTAAAAAATAGTGACTTTGTTTTTAAACATTTGGATTCTTTCTCTAACTTCACTCCAAGAAAGCAGTGAAACTTGTCTGTTTCGTAGGGAACATTACATTCCCCTTTTGTCGTATGTTTGGCTGAATACAGTTTCTGAAGATTTAGATGAGAATAATTGCTTCTGTGGAAGAGAGGCTTTTAATTTATACCTGCCTGGAAAAGACTGGTTTTTGTTTGGTTTTTTCCCCCCCAGTAACTTTTAGAAAATAAATGTACTCTAATTTTCATCCAAACGATTAACGGTTAGGCCACTTCTTAGAAGCTAGACCTCGAACAGATAAAGAGCATGCGGTGTTTTCCAGGGTTATTATCAAGTAGTATATGGCTCAATGTTTGAATTCACTACAGTTTGACATACCTAGTCCTTTGTGATAGGAACCGTTCTGCCTGTGTGTTTGCAGAGGGGAAAGGAAGACGGGGTGCAGCTTTTGGGTATGAATGTCTACTGCTATGCTTGCTTCTCAATATTTGAGATGCAGTGACTGCTTTTACAATGTAGGCCGGTTTTTGCTACTTCAGTTGATCTGTTTTAGAGAATCTTCTATGGGCTGTGTTAGGGTAATTGACTTTTTGGTTACCAAGATGCTCAAGCTTTTTCTTCTTTTCCCATTGCTGTGTGATCCTTTTCAGACGAAAGACCACAGGGCTCAATAGAAATACTGCTCAAAGTCTACAGGATCATTCCTGGTAATTCATCAGACATTTCTGGGCTAATTAGCTTTTTACTTTAGGATTAATCTGTTCCGTCAGCTTTGCCTTCCTTCTTTGCCTTCTCCCCTTACCCAGGATTCATTCACACTACCCTTTTCTTCTGAAAAAAATGGTCTTTCCCGTGGACATTTCTCTGGATCCTCAAAACATCGTCAGCATCAACCTCCAACAAACCTGGATGTTGTCTTCCAAACCAAACCAGTCTTCCCTCTTTTTTGTTGCTTTAACCTCCTACAATAGTTTTTTTGTTTGTTTTGTTTTATCCAAGAGGACATTTTCTTGAGTGACGTGAATTTCATTATGATCTAGCTTCTCAGATTCTGGTCTGTAATCCTTTGTCCTTGAAGTTCTCTGTATAACCAAAACATTGCAGGACTGTGGGCCATGAAGGAGTTTCCAAAGTCCATGGCTTCTTTCCACCCTTTCTCCATTAATTCTTTGACCGTTAGCTCCATGCTTTACTAGTCTATTTACTGAGATCCAAAACAGCATCCCCTTTCCAACCCTTAGCCCTATGTGTTTCTGTCATGTGTTTCCCCCGTGTGATCTGCTTCTCATGTTACATGTCTCCGATGCGTGAACTGAATTTAAAGGGTTTAAAGAGGCAATAAGTCAGAGTTTCTTTTCTTGCAAATGAAAGCCGTAATTGACTGCGTAGGGAGCTTCCCGAAAGACAGGGCACCGTAGTGCTGGCTGTAGATTTTCTTCTCTTCTCATCCCATTTTCCACAAACCACTGTGTTGGCAATTAGTTTTGAGGAGGACCCACAACCCTGTGCAGTTTCAAAAGCAGAGATCTCACCCAAGCCCTCATTCCCAGTTTTCTACTTCATTCCCAGTTTACTAGCAAGTTACTACCCCCATTTGCATTATAGAAATGTCATGTTATGAGTACTGTATTTCCCTTTCACTGCCACTCTTCTTGAAGTCATTCTTACCCTGCTCGGTGAAGAAAAGCCCCTTCTCATCAGACTTCCTTCCAGATCTAGTTGTCATTTCCTTTTCTTGTCCTGTTCGTTGCAGAGCTCTCATCGGCCGCTGTGTTTCTTCTTTCCCTTTCTCCCTCAAAGCTTCTGCTCTCCACCAGCTCGGGTTAAGCCTGGTGTTTCATTTCCCCATTTGCCTTCTTTCAGAAGCCATGTGGCTGCCTCTTCCCTTGCTCCCTCCACATGTTTTTAGCCTGGGTTTGACTCTTTTACCAGACCTGACCTCGCTGGCTGGCTAATGGCTCTGGTCTGCAGCACAGTAATAAATCTGTTTTTATTTCCATTTCAGTGCAGTTTTCTCTGCTTTCAAGTACTTCTTCTTCTTCAGTGTATCGTGCAAAACCTGGCATATTTTGAACTTTTTTCCTCTAGCCCGAGTTCTTCTTCACCAGCTGTACCATTTTAATTTCCCAGCAAAAGCCTTATACCAGAAATACCCAAGTGTTGCCTGCCTTTACAGAGCCGGTTGTGATCTCAGTCCTGCAATACTTTGTGTCAGCAAACGGAGAGGGAAGCAACCATTAATAGTTCTGGATGTTGTGCTGGATGTGTAGGATCACTTTGATATTCATCTCTATTCTCCTTTCCGTTTGAAGGTTATGCAAAAGGAGATGATACTTGGTTCTTTTGTACATTCCTCTCAGTCATGTTTTATCATTTTGGCTCTTTCTCTGTCTCTCTGTCTTTATTTTAAGCCCAGTTTCTGAAACAAGCTGCATGGATATAAATGCACAGCCTCTCCCTGTTGTTGCGGTGATTAATGATTCACATGAGCATGACTGAAACTCGAACGTATCCCTCTTTGCCCTTGGTCCCATCTGAACATACGGCTGCTGACCAAGACAGAACCTTATTCCCTGAATAAAACGTTTTCTCTTTACCGTGCCCTGCACTCGCAACGCTTTCAGGAGCCTCCTTCTCCACTGGAAGGGGCCGAAAGTGGTGTCTGCCCGCAGCCCGTCCCTGTCTGCGCTTCCAGCGCCGTGGCCATGCAAACAGGGTGCTGTCATTACGCGAGAGCTCGATCTGTTGGCTGGGAATTGCCCATGCGTAGGCCAGCTTTCTTCAAGCTGCCTCGCTCACTGCACAGTAGGAGAGTATAGATTGACATGCGCTGGCATAGCCTAGTCTGTCATGATGTCATTTGTTTTCTCATCCCGCTGGTGGCTTCCCGTGTAAGCAAAAATCTACTTCAGGAATCTTCTGAATTTTAAAGGCACTAAGAGGCTGCATCTGGACCCCTTGTCCTTACAATATAGCTTGGCAAAACTGATGCTTACTGCTTTTTCAGCATGGGAGGATCCTGTTTATCTGTGAGCCCAGTGGAGGTCATCCTTCTTCTGCTGTCTGGGATCCCATCGCTTTGCCTCTCTGACCCCACCTCCGTCTGTTCCTTGCTTTGCGCCCTTCGTCCCTCCTCTGTCTCTTCGCATTGCACTCCACAGTTTGGAAATGTTTTCTCTGGGGCTGCCTGCTTGCTTGTATGTGCCGTGCTCCAAGCCAGGGAATCGCTCCTGGAGGAGTGGGAAAGGGCACTGGTTACAGAGCTGCATGCAGAGCAGAAGAGGACCGTGCATTATTTCCTTGGCTTCAGCGTGCCCTTCATGTCTTCTTCTTCCAGGCTGTTCAGAGTCACAGATGCCCAACTGCTTCCTTGCGTTACGCTTTCTTGTTGGACGCTGTACGTGCCACTGTTTTGGCGCAGGATGCCCCTTTTTGTGTCAGAGCCTATAAGGGAATGGGTTTTGGGGGAGGACAGGCTGTGCAAGTCAGGCTTTCAGAAAGAGGAGCTGTGCGTTTCCGAACACAAGCTGTAATGGAGAGACTAATCTCACTGAGGAGGTTTTCGCTGTTTGATTTAAGTGGCATGCAAAACTTGGAAGCAAAAAGCTTTGCAGACTTGCAGAGACAGGAGGCAACTTGTCCAGATCCCTAGACAGCCCTTCGCATGGTCTCTTCTGTGCTTCAGCCGAGTCCTATGGCAGGTGAGATGTTCCCATGATGGATACAATGCAGCATCTCATAGAGTGGTGGCTTTCAAAGCCTGTGTCTGCAAAGAGGCTAAGAAAGAGGAGGAAAATTTCAGCTTTAAGTCAGTTTTGTACAGTGTGCCAAACCTCTGCCCACTGTCTCTGGGACATTAATCATCTACATTTGAAAGCTGAGAAGGCTTTTTTTTAATTTCTGGGCCAAATCCTGGGTCCTTACTCAGACAGAAGGTCTGTGGAAGTCAATGGGAGTGTTGTCTGAGCAAAGACTGCAAGATGAGGCCCATAAACCCTAGTGATCTGGAGGGTAACCACACAGAATGCTTTGTAACACCAAAAGGCATGTTTGGTCCTCAGGACTCCTGCTGGGCAAGTCTACTATGCATCCTTCCCCTCTCAGCCAACGTGAGAGTTATTGGGCTCTGTCCCTGCAGAGGATAAAAGTGTGATACGAGTTTTAGCCACAACTTGTTCTTTGCAGAGGGAAAGAAAGAAGTCCACAGAGCCTCCGTTGTGTGGATTAATCTCTCAGAAAGGAAATACATGTTGCAAAGTGGCAGTGGTTGCACGAATACTTCTTGCATGACAGAGGAAAGAATAATCCACATTAATTTATTGCCATATAAAAGAAGGCTCTTGCTTGTTTCTGGGAGAGGCAGCTCATATCAGTATATTGAGCTCTCCCGCAAAATAAAGCCGCAAGAACCGTGGAAGCTCCATCAACAAGTAAGCAGGGCCTGGGGAGTGTTTTGT